ATACTTTTCTGCTCTGACCCCATCCTGTCATGTAGAAAGTATAGTGAATTATTCAAATAGCAACTTCCACTATCATCTCTTCTTACTGAGTCAACAAGCCATAAGCTTCAGAAGCAATGTTCTTCTGTAAGTGTCTAATAGAAACAGGAAATTTCTTTTGTTTATCAATTTTGGCAATGTCATACTAGAGGGAGACCCCAAAGTCCTTAACTAATAACTGCACTTAGAACAAAAGAACCAAAGCTATAACATTATAGAACTATACTCAATGAGGTTCCAGTGGTAATGAAACAGAACTAGTTCTCCTGATGTGACACATGCCACCAGCAGCCTTTCTACCCTTTTAAGGCATCCTACCCAGCTGTAGGGACTTTCCTGTTGTAGAGATGAAAAGATCAGGTTTCCACATTACAGTTTGTATATATTTAAAAATCTTGAATATTTATTGAATGATGTAATTCAAAGGTTTATATGAAGCTATAGTAGTTAATGATCCAACCCAAAATTATGCACAAGCTGAGTGTTTAATGTCATCTTTTCCATGAGTCATATAAGACTTCACAAAGGTCAGAAGACAGTTGTATAGTTATACCTGGTTTTAGGCAGCTATTTAGCACATTATTTTTATCTAGGTTCCATCTACTCTCGCCACTGCACAGATACGATTATCTCATGTGTGTTTCTCTTTCCTTCTGTTTATATTCTCCATTTTGTATCAACTGGAATCTACCACAGATTTGAGAGCTGCTGTTTGAGAGCAGCACAAACTGTGTATCATACAAAAAGACACACAAGATGCTCCAGAAAAGGATTAAGTCTTTGCAGCATGCACTGGCCAATGGTTCTGCTCTGTGGAGTCATCACTGACCTTTGCTTTCAGACTTCAGGAGATGGTATCTGGCCAGACTGGCAATAGCATTACAGAACACAAGGGACTGAGTCACTGTCTTAGCTCACCACAAGGAATCTTTAAGAATGCATTGAACACTGTTGCTCTTCCACTAAGATAATCAAAATCTAATAATTTTAAAAGGAGAAAAAAGGGCAAAGTTATTGCTGTTGGTAAACTTTCAAAATGACACACAATTTTTGAATGAATGATTTAGTGTTTTGAAAATGGGGCTTGTGGGCCTTTTCAAAAACAACCAAAATCTTTTATGTAGAGAACCAAAAAATCCATTTTTCAGTTAGCCCATGCTAGAGCATAAGTGTAAGGGGGAATTTCACCAATAAATAAATAGTTTCATTTTCTCCATGTGACAAATAAATAAAAGCAATTTTAGAGAAGATATTTAAATGCTAAAATACCAATAAGAATATTTTTCCATTATCTGGCTTTGTAAATCTGCCATGGAATGGCTGCACTCACCAAGGGTAAGTGAGAAAAACAAGATTTTTTTTAAGAAAACCTCTCTCATCTATTATTCTCAAAACCTAATCTTTTTATTTTCAATTCTCTTCCTAAAGTCTTTTTTATTAAAACTATTTTTAAATCTGCTTTGTACCTGAAGGGAAAACTCAAGTGAGTGATGTGCATTTTAAAGAGAAAATGGTTTGTCTTTTCCCTTAATCCTGACAAAAATATAGTACCTCTTTATTTCAAACCATAATGATTTTTGGTATGTTTTTTCCTTTATGTCTGACACTGGTCTTGATGTACAGTGTGTTCTTAAAAGTAACAGATTTTCACTGTGAAAAAAGTGAAAGTTTTACATCTAAGCTAAAAGTCACGGAGCAAGTTGGAAAAAAAAGCAACACTCTTGGGAATAAGAGTATAGAAGGAATTCTTCACTTTATATGAATGATGATGCCTAGAATCAATCCTCACCCTCAAAAGACTTTTGTAGGGAAAGTAATTTTTGGAAAGTACTTAATAGGTTTTTATTCCCAAAATTTTCTTGTAATCTTCTCTCAACCTTATACATAGCCTCGTATATGGTATAGACAGCCTGATTGATGTAATAGAGAGAATTTATAATTGCTCTGTCTTTATAAGACCATTTCAGCATGCAGACATTTTCCTTTGCTACTCAGCATGTCAATGGAAGACTTCTCTCTCCTTCACCCACTGGAGCAGCTAAGAAATATAAGACTACGGTGTAATACTTTTCTGGCAGCCTCTATGATATCCCCACATGCTGAGCAGCACCCATGAAACAGCTTGCTATTCTTGTGAGTGGGGAAAATCAGGAAGGGAATCACAGTCTGAAAAGGTCGTTTCATCTACCCTCAGAAGAGCAAAATACAGACTGAGAAATCATAATTTATAGCATTTTATAGAAAGTGGTTATCTAATTGTGTTCCTCCTAACCTCTTTTCAATTCTCTATAATTTTTAATACAACTTTTATATACTCCTGATACATTAAAGGTTACAAACCCCCATTTTCTTTCCCTGTTCTTTCTTTTCTATACCTTTTTTTCTCTTCTTGAGATTACATGACTGATAGTTAAAGGATTCTCAAAATCTGGGTGGATTGCGCCAATTCTCTTAGTTCCTATTGCTGTAAACAACAAAAGTATCTAAATCTAAAAACAAAAGGTACAGATGAACAGAAAAGAGTCTTTAAGGAAACAATACATGGCCAAATCATAAAGTCATGCACCTGCATCTCTGAGAATTCTGTTGTGTATTCTATTCCATACAGGAACTGCCTTACCAAAAAATCCCACTAAATAAGGACATTAAGTACTCAACTTCTTTGGCAGTACAGTGGATTAGTGACCTGGGCAAGGATAACTGTTGTTGTACCATCATTTTCAAATGGAAAAGACAAAATCTCCTTTTCCTTTTCAGACTATCCTCATCACACAATCCTCTCTAAGGACATCAGAAAAATTGGGGATGTTTTTACAATTCTATAGTGTTTGCCACTCCTGAAGGCTTGAAATCAATTGTGTTTGATTAGAAAACCTTATTTTGATTCATCTGTTCATATCACACTTCTTCCCATGACAAGAAGTGAGATTTCCAAATGGCACCAAATTTAACTATCCAAGTCCAATGACAATTTTTCATAGGAACTAACCCCTACTTTAGCAGTTCAGAAATTTTCTTACACTTTTCTTTTATTTAAAGTATCATGGAAAAAGGGGAAATTCAAGGAGTCCAGGGTAAAAAAAAATACACTGTCTAGTAAAACAAAGATGAGTAGACCAAAACATCTTCCCAATGTCTTAAACAAAATTGTTCATAGAACTAAAACAAGATACTGCTATCCATTTTTAAATGGAAGTTTTCATGGGGATTTTTTTTTTTCTAGCCTGGAATTGCAGAATGTCTTGTTCCTTCAATACAGCAGCTGTCTATCATATTATGTCCTACATCCACATATGTGGCTTTTGCACTCCTTGAACACCTTAGTGATCACTTCTTGTTTGAAAGTCAAAGTTCATTGAAAGCCACTATCAATTAAGCCTTTTGTTCCCATCGATACTGCTTTTGAAAATTTTGACCAACAGGTCACTCAGTCAAACTATTTCACCTGAAAATTACCTATTTCACTGCCAGGATCTCAACAGCAGAACACTGCCAACATCATTAGGTGTTTATGCAGAAGGCCAAAAGGGTAGAATTATTGTCATTAATGTTAAAATCTTTACATTTACTCTTCTTATTATACTTAATTTTAAAAATTCAATATTATATATTTAGTCAAATTAAAATTATTTTTATGGTTTTTGTTTTTCCTCTGTCTTCACAGAGGACAATGCAACTACATCATAGAACTGACTCCAAGCTCTCAAGATACATGACTTTTTGTGAAGCAGATGAAAAAAGAGACCTTCAACATCCATAAGGACAAGAAAAAAAAAGAAACAGTATTAAAAAATGAAAAATTGACTCAAAAGTCAATGCTCCTTTCTTTTAGTTATCATTCCTGCAAGCATGAAAAATAAAATGCAGTTAATTCTCTACAGATGCCCATTCTCCAACTAACTTGTAGCAAAAAATTCTGTTGCAAAATTTTAGCAGGAAAAGAGAGAGACAATTAACTGGAAAACTGCAGCTTAGTTAAGAAAAGAGCAAGCAACTGTCTGTTAATACATAGTTCTTTTAAGATACTCCTAATACTACATTTAGGAAGTAAATGAGCTGCTATACAATTACAGGGGGAAAATGGTACAATTATCACAGAGATAACTTGGGTGAACAGCCTACAATTTTTGACTGTTAGATAGTATTAGTGAAAGAATAAATCACAAATGAACTGACATTAAGGGTCAAATGCAGTCCTTCAAGAGAAGCTTTAGGCCTATCCCAGAAAATACTTAAATGGGCAGAATTCATAACAACTTCAATTACCAGTTCTGGAAATATTCTGTCTTGTATTTACTTTTCTCTCTTCTCTCTGCAGAAAACCACATTTCACACAGTGACAGAGGAAAATTAGCAGGTCCTTTTACTTCTGAGAAAAATTGCTTGCAATGTATCTTTTAAGTGAGTGCATGACTTAGTGTATATTTTTAGTCAAAGCCCTTAAAAAGGCTACAGTGTCACAAAGAAATGCTTTCAAATGAAAAGCCAATGGCCAACTAGCAAACTGTGCTGAAGCTCAGCTGCATTTTATAGAAGTCAGTCCTGCACTTAATGGGCAGTTTCTTAGAGTAAATCCAAACAGTCCTTATCACAATGGTGCCACAACATTTTACACAGGCTGAAAATCTTATGCTGCTTTTGTCAAAAAATGCCCAGACTAAATCCATATTTTTAATCTATCTTTAGTAAAGACTTAACTACAGCAATTTTCAAAGCATCCTCGAAAACCTTCAAAATGAATGTTAAGACATGTAAAATAAAACACAAAGCAGGAAAAAATATGTGACCTCTGTATTCTTCTCCTCCCTCCTCCTAAATCACAAGTTATACAGGTGTGAATCATGCACAGTAAGCTAAGAAGGTACACATTTTTCATTACTAGTAATGCTGGGCATCTATAAAAATTCTTTTAATGGAAGTACATTTAAAGGGCATGAAAATTCTTCCAGAAATGTGCTTACCTCTTCCAGAGCAAGGTAAATTGGAATTTCCTTGGCATTTCTTAGCACTTTCTTCAACTGACATTGGACACGAATGTGGATGTTCACACTTTTTCCCAGTCCATCCTTCTTTACAGTCACATCTTCCACAATTACACTGTCCATGACCTTTATAATGAATACAATTCAAGATTAACCTCCATTCTGATGAGGTATAAAAAACTCTTAATTGGATGAACTTTATCAAAGTTGGAGCTTCATTCAGTAATGAGACTTGCAAAAAATACAACCAATCCATTATACCCACTTTTGTTTCTGAAAATAGCACTGTCTACCATTCCATTTGGACCATATTCCCTTTTCTGTTTTTTTTCCTTAAGGGATGTTTAGCCACTTAGCACATGATCTAATGCAAAAGGGTGGAATAGAGATTAAAAATACACATTTTACCACCATTTGGAAATGTGGAATGTCATAAGGCAATATTTACTTTTATGTTCTTTTTCTACCATGGTTGCAGCATATTCTCTAAGAAATATATCAAAACCATCCTTTATCTACTTGCAATCAACATGATCCACTAGAGACAATCATTGTCTCATAAATTCCAAGCCTCAAACCAGTGTCTTCTACTAAACAGTGAAATACAAATAATAAAATTTTGAAATATTGGACATAATCAATTCTCATTTCAGTAGGACAATTAGATGTCTTTTTTGCTATCTTAGGGCAAATTAGAGACTATTCCCTGCACATATATTTCCTTTATATAAAAGCAAACATATGCAATTTTTCTTGAGCTTTTCTCAAGAAAAACTAAAAAAAAAAGATAATTGTCCTTCTCCCTCTTTATTCTCTTTGCAAAAAGCATTGAGATTCTGGCAATGGAAAATGTTCCTAAGAAAAGCCTGAGAATCAGAAAAACAATATTCCTTGCCATAAAATCAAATATCTATTTTCATGAGCTCAGACAGCAGTTTAAATCTCACAATTTTCACACAGTTGTCATTCATTGGACACAGGACCAAAGCATTGCTCCAATGTCCATTTTTCTATCCATGTTCTTCTTGAAAACCATAGTAACAGATTTATATGTCTTTTTAACCAACTTGCACTTAAATACCAATTTATAAAACATATTAGTTTATTAGTTCACAAGGAGAAAATGGGAGGAAGCAATCATTCTAGGAGTCATCAGATTACTTCCCAAAATGCAAGTCTTATTAACTGCACAAAATAACTTTTTTTTACATTAGTTGTTTTCATTGAAAAGCATTACAGGCTTCCTCTTGTTTAGAGGATGAGTTCAGATTAGATGACAAGGAAGAAATTCTTTACTGTGGGGATGGTGAGGCTCTGGCACAAGCTGCCTAGAGAAGCTGTGGGTGCCCATCCCTTGAAATATTCAAGGGATGCCTGGATGGGGATTTGAGCAACCCAGACTACTGGAAGGTGTCCCTTCAGGGAAGGAGTCCCTGGTAGTGGTTGAAACCAGATGATTTTTAGGGTTTCTTCCAACACAAACCGTTCTCTGATCCCATAATTCTTTCCTTTGCTTTCGTGTGTACCTGCTGACAGGTTGTGAATTGGATTTATGATCCCTGACCCAGAGAGATACTTATGGGAGGATTAGATATTTTCATACAATAGTTTCTTTGCTAAAGCCACAGCAAAGGAACTAATGAAATGTGTCACCAGACAAATTTTCTTAATGGAAGCATGTTTTCTTCCCATGTCAATTCATGAGAGCTATTATCTCTTTAAATTAAGATAATCACTTTAATGTCAAGAAGACTTCTGAAAGACAATAATTCAGGAACATTCTGAATGGCACTTTAGGTGTTAAAAGAAGGCATCTAGTAGTCAGTATGATATACTGTGAAATAAAGTCACCTCAAGTCATATGAAGTTTCTGGAGGGAGCTGCCCTCGTGTGATGTTAAATCCTCACATCAGGGCTGTCAATTCCTGTTGTTTGTATTTTATTGAATAAACATAGAATTTCATTCAGTCACAGTGAAGCTCTTTACATGAAAACAGGATTTCCTATAATTTCTCCATGCTACTCAGGACAAAGTGGTTGCCTGTCTCTACCTATTAGGTAGACAGAACAAGACAAGAAAATTTTGTATCATCTCCTTTTGATGAAGGTTTTAAGAGAGATGGATTATTTTCCCTAATCTAACTAATCACTCTTGGATTCATCCCAAATCAATTTACAAATAATTGTGAGAAACAATGAGGTTATTTTTCAGATAGACCTAATGCATGTACACTTTGTGCAATAAAAATTTATTTCATATAAGCAATTAAAAAACCTGTCCCACTACAATTCCTCTATTAAATATTTGATTTAATTGCAGATTCTGCCTGACTACCACAATAAACCAAAATTAAAACTTTTGCATCTTTTCTATTTCTGAAACAAGACTAAACAGCATGACTAGAAGATATTGTTAACACTGCTTCATGTGCAAATGGATTTTTTTGCACAATCTATTTTAGGAAAGTATACTTGGATGGCCAGCTAAGACTAAATTAGGGTTTTCTAAAAGATAATGGAAAGGGAATGGATAAAAATAATTAGTACTAACATTTTTGATGAGGAGATGGAAAAACAAAATTATACTTGAGTTTTAGTCACATCAAGCAAGCCACATGAGTCCTTCCTTTCATATCTAAGTTTTCTTCATTTACAGTTATGTCTGTGTAACAAAGACCAATGTACCAGTCCTTAATCCAATGCCAAATGGCAATATCTTCCCCCAGTCTCATTTGTAACTGTCTGTACTTTCTTACCCTCTGCTTTCTTACAACCATTACCATCCTGGGCAGCAGCAGCTGCAAAGGCAATATTGTCCAGGAAAGGGGAGTTCAAGCATGACTTTTTCAGTTTCACAGCATTAGTTGTAGATGACAAGGTTTGATTTAATTTAATTAGGTCTGAAACTCTTGTGTTCACCATTAACTATAGAATGCATTTACCTTGTTGATTTGTAGCTTTGCATTCCTTAGCTGATGCTGATATTTTGATCAGTCCCTGAGTGCTAAAATCCCTGACAGCAACACAGTGATACATTCAAAAACTGACAACCAACTCAATCTTCCTGCTGCTCTCATGACTTTGTGACTGCACACAGCTCTACATCATTCCAGCTTATTCATTAAATAAACGCTTAAATAAATATATAATATCTGCAAGTGGTTGAACAGTAACTAGTAAATTAAGTCACTGAAGGTTTTTGTAATAGCTTCTTTTCCCCACATTTTATTAGCTAGTGATTCCTCTAAATTTATTAAAACCAAACCAAAAAAACCCAAACCAAACCAAAAAAAAAAAAAAAAAACCACAACACACAAAAAAAGCCCCACAACTGTTGAGAAACTTTTTACTTTTTAAACAGGCAAATAAAAAGCCGAACATTTTATGTACCGTGCTAGTTTCAACTTTCTTTCTCTACTACAGACAACTCCAGTGATCTTTCTGTGGGACTTATCTAACTCTAGGAATAGGAGGAAAATATATGACAACATTATTGTCCTTGATGTGACTGCATTCTTCCTGTTATTAATTAGGCCAGACCAGGTTTTTACAGGATGCACTGAAGCTGACAACCTCCAATCTGTGAAGTCCCTTTGAGATCACATTCATTTGCTTTTGCAGAATTCCTGTGCGCACAAATTGCATGCTGTGTTTTGAACAAAGTCCTTCTCTCCCACCTAGTGTTACCATCTTTATTAGTATTCACACAAAATTGCATGCAAAGTCTCTCTCAGAATCTCAGCTTTTGTTAGCTGATACATGGAACATCTAAACTGCAAAACCATGGCTGGATGGATGGATGGATGAATGAATGGATGGATATTAATTGTTTTGGATATAATGCTCTCAAATCCAAGTGGAAGAAAAAGGAAGATGGATGTGTCTAAGATGTACAGTCTGGGCTACAGCTACAGAAGTGCAGCTGGGCCACATATTCATATTTTTCAAGTACTGATGCTCTACTTGGTCTCATGTCAATTTGTCTCATGTATTCTTAGGGGACTGTTTTTCATTGACTCATTTACTTACTCTTCCTTGCATTTCTTCTTCTTTATTATCATCTATCTTTCTGCCATACAAAATGAAACAACAAACACAGTCCCATTTAATGAACTTTCCAATTTTCCCAAGAAATGTTACACCTAAATTTTAAATTTTCAACCATTATCCAGTTCATTAGGTTACAGTGAACACAAGGGTATTGGAAGAACCTAAAAGATTCTTCCTAAAAGAATCTAATATTGATAGGATTTTGTTACATGGCATGGAAAAAAATACATAATTATGTCTTTAATTTAAAAAGCCCCCTCCTGCCCCCTAAGCTTGGTATATTTTAAGATAGGAAAATGAGAATTGGAGCACTAGGGAAGAGGAAGATCAGACCAGTTTGAAGGTTTTTTATAAAACTACACCTAAGTCTCCTTTACACACAAACCTTACCTGAACAGAAGTCATCAGAATATCTGTCATACACTGCTTTGCAGTTTCTTTCATCACACTCACAAGTATCTCCATGAATATCTCCCCAGTCTCCAGTTGGGTCCACATCATGGCACGTACATTCCCCACATACACATGTGCCTAAAAATGTAAAAAAAAAAATTACAATTAAAAAAAAAAAAAGACAGAGATAGAAGATTAACTGTGTAATTTAGAGTAACAGCACTTTGATTACAGGAATTTACACTTGTGAATTTTCAGTGCTCACAGAGATGCAATTTCAAAGCTGCAAGTGATAATCTTGAGTGTGCGCTCATCTTCTATGATTTGAAACCTTCTATGGTTATTTAGTAGCAATACTTTAAACAAAAAAAATTGGCTTCCTGTTCATGTTTCTTTTTGCTGTTGAGCCTTGCTAGGAGTCAACAAGAAATGTAGCTCACAGAACAGTTGTACATCTTTGACATCAACAGTAATTTGCCCTGTCAGTAATGACAATAAAAATCAATTCTGTTTAAATGACTTGGGCTTGGGCACAGGCGATAATTAATGGTTGTTAAAGCATAAACATGTAAACAACAAGAGAATCCAAATTAACACAGCTGAAAATGTCTGGGAAGTAATTCTTTACCTAAGAAGAACAGCAGCACAGATCTACATGAAAGGATACACCTCCACTTTCCCAAGTCAATATTCAGGGCCACACCCTGTTGCTTACAATAGGAAGAAATGTGAATAACAGAAAACAAATTTGCATATTTTACTAATATGCAGAGAATATGAACCCTACTTATTTAGGAAAATCTGAGCAAAAAACCCCAATCAACAACAACAACAACAAATTTCCTTATTCAGAAATCCAAATATGCTTTAGGGCAACACACTCACTACATTTTTTGAGATGCTAACAGGCTCATAGAAGCAGCCTGACCTTACTGAATGCATGCAGTTCATTTTTTGCAGAGTGGCTTCACCTTCTGCTACTCTGCCAACACATTTGTCATCATATTTAGGTTGCTCTAAACAATATAATGTGTTTGAGGACAACAGGACAGGATGACTAAACAGTACACTTAGATATGGGCACATTCTCTAATAAAAGGAGAAGGTTTACACAACCCAGCATGCATGACATGAGCAGGAAGAGCTACAGCCCTATATAATGCTAAGAACCCTGAGACAGCCCTCAAGAAACTTGTGCCTAATTTTTTGTTTTCACAATTCAGTGGCATTACTAAAGAAGAAAAAAACCATCCAACCAACCAAAAAAACCAGGAAATGCCTCTGGAGAGTGATTAATCCTCCCAGAAACAACTTCAAATTAATTTAGATCAGCTGTCCTTGATGTCAGAATGCAGAACATAATCTCATCAAAGTTTAAAAATCTAAATTTTCACATGTGGTCTAAACTGTTTGACTAGATAGTGCAGGGGAAAAGATAAGAAAAATTTATCCATCTTAGCACTGAAGGAGGGTGGGTAGCAAGGTTAGTCTCAATATTTGATTTTTAGAAGGCTCAAGACTGGCAAGATGAATTGTACTTATATCACCAGATGTATAAACACAGAAAACTGGGTAAGTAGGACTAAATGGAGCAGAAATACTTTGCTGGAAAGCAACTTCACATTGTCAGAAGCCTACAGAACTCTTATGAAGATAAAATCACAAATAGATGAGAGGCTAAAGGCATGAAAGTATCACACAAATGTACCTTTGCATTGGAGGCTGCAGCTACTCAGAGCATCAGCTATGCTATTCACATAATTTCTCCTATTGCAATGCTAGTTTAAAGAAATAATCACACATTAAAATTTCAAGTTTGATTAAAAGCTTGCTTTGACGAGAAATTCTTTGCCAAGAAATTACTTTCTCAGTGCAAAGAAAGCATCTGATATGATGACACTTTGATACCTATTATTTCCAGAACTACATGAAAATTTTATGCTGAAGTCTTGAGACTGAATGAACCTACATGATCTCTGTATTTGAGCCAAACTTTCAATTTGAGCCTAATTATGAGAAGAGAGGTTTCTAAATGCTCTCAGGATGATTGGATGTTCACAATACAGCAGGTTTTGCCAGTAGAGATGCTTTTAAGAGAAGTATCTATGTGACTCTTGCTTATGTACCACTATAATTATTCTGGTTTATTGCCAAAAATAACACCCTATTTTTTTAACTCCTTGTTCACAGCAGCTAGTGAAAAGCAACCTTATTTTGTGTTTGTTTTTTTTTTTCCAAAAATGGCAAAAAATTAGACAGAAGTATAAAGTAAAATTCAAATTTCAAAACTGTGTGCAGATAAAACCTTATGTAGTTAGAAAAACTGTGTGAACTTTATACATTCCTCAGCATTGTTACTGAACACTTCACAGGTGTTTTTTTGATTGTAGTGGAAATTAAATGCTTTGTGTTTTCATTTGCCCCATTCTCCATTTCCACATTCCATTGTGGGTCTTAAGTCTTCTTTAAGAGTGATTGACATACAGTTCTGTGACCTTACAGCAGCAATCTGTTTAAAGTCAAAAATCTGGTAATATTTATTTTGCAAGGCAGGTCTCTTACCAAAACAAATATATACTAAATAACAAATTATCCTGCTCAGTCTTATTACAAAAATAAAGAATGAGAACAACTTGAGTTTACTTAATCAAGAAGTGGATGTGAATATGTGTAAGTTTATACCTAAACACAGGTAACTACCCAGTTGGAAGTGTATATCCAGAGCTGAAATAGGTGAGAACAAGTAGAAACTCTCAGCAAACACAATCTATGTCCTACTGTACAGAATGCATAGAGTGAAATAAAAGCCAAATATAAACACGTCTAGAAGGTCCATGCAAATGACACACCTCTGTTGCTGCAGATTTTGCCATCTGGAGATGTGCATCTCTTCTTGATCTCCCAGGGGGTGATGTCACACTCGAATTCACATTTATCTCCATGCCAACCAGCCTCACAGTAACAGTTTCCACAGTAACACTTTCCATGGCCTTAAGCCAAAACAAATTTTGTACAGTGAGAAAGAGGCAAGTTTTTAAAAGGCATTAACAATTTCACTGTTTTGATCTTTTAAAAACTTTTATCGCTAGGTTCAGAATAGAAACAATTTATAGTCCATGTATCAATACATAAAATCAGACAAAAGATATCTAAACTACACTTTTCCCCTCTATTTTAGAGCCAGTTTTCCTTTAACCATAGATTAAATCTAATCAATAAACCCTAACTGACAACATAATTTTTATACTTTTATTTTTTTTTTTACTTTATGGATAAATTTTGAAGACTGTAATCATTAAAATTTAAGCACAGCTTTACACATCAATGTAGGACACATACTTGGCCTGTCTAATAACACATTGTGTGTTCTTGACTCCTCAGCTACTTGCAGTAAAGACATCTTGATTTATTACACACCAACTACATTGTATATGGCTTCCCTTCTTCTTCCCCTCTGTCAGGAAGATTTTTGAACATGGCTAAACCAGTTTATTAAGGAGAATTATTTTCAAAATTAATCTTTCAGATGTTCTTTTAACAATACATACATATCCCAAAAAAGATGACTGCATCATTCAAGTCTGGGTGAAACCAGCTCCAGAATATTTTCATCTGCTAAGGTGGGCACCTGTGCCATGTGCTTCACAGCATAAAGCTTTTAAATTAAATAGTTGCAATTCTACTAATCTAAGAGCTCCCAAATCTGGACTTCAGAGGACCATTCTGCATACCCTCATTTAAAATCCCTACTTAATCCCAGGATTTAAAAAAAAAAAAAAGTTCTTTTTGCCTTCAAAGGCCCTTAAGTAAATAGAATTTATTTTGCAGTCTGTGTGAGGAAAAGACAGATTTTACAGAAGTACTCTCTTTCTTCAGAAACACACACACAGGAAGCTCTACCACCAGATATGAATAGTCTAGGAGCAGACTGGAACACTCTTGTGGGCATATGGACAGAATCTTGAACAATGTTTCTAGCACCTTTCAGCTCAAAGACAAGCCTCCTTCTCAACACAAGCAACAGCATTTATAATGCCATAAATGGTGTGTATTGCACAATATTTGACTGCCTGGTTCCTGCCTTATAATGACATGAAAGAACAGTTTGAATTTTGGTTGCTTTTCTGTCTATCAGCAGAGTTAAATTCATCTTATTTTTTTGCCTTTCCTATCACAGATGAAATTCATTACTGAATCCTTTCTCTTCTCATCTTCCTGATTCTGAGTTATCATCCTACATTTATTCCTGATATTTTGCATTTTTGCTTCCTTGACAGAAACCCTAATAATCTATGTTCTGGTTTGTTTTTTGGGTTTTTTTCCATATGTTCTCCATTCTGCTCTCTCATATCTGTGTCACAAAGCATTCACATTCCTCATATATATTCTACTGAAGACAGACACACTAAGCTATGAATTACCTTAGTGATTTATCATGTACAATTCTCTTTGCAGTTCTTCCAAAAAGAGGAGAATGTCACAGGATTTATTTCTTCTTTAACCTTATGGTTAGCTCATTTTTACATCTGAAATTTGCACTTACAATTTGCAGTGTGAAGTCTTCCAAATAGAGGTACTTTTATTTTAAGTCATACATTCAGTAAAGATATTTTGTAGAACCATGCAATTAAATAATAGCCTGCATTAATCTTCACTTTTCTTGCACTCACTGAGATACATACCTGTACAAATCTCTCCTGTTTCATCATCAATGCATTCTCTGTCATCACATTCACAAAATTTGCCATATACCAGTCCATTTTCTTCTGAGTTAGCACATTGGCACCTGCCACACTGACATGTGCCTGTAAACATTTAAGAGACATTACCCAATGATTGCAGATTATAGAAAGAGTTTAATTAGTGTGTCAGAGATGGTACATATTTTATTTCTGAGAAGGCTGAAATCTAAAGATCATCCACACAGATAAAGACAGACACAGAAATTATCCATACCAACAAAAAGCTTAATCTTAGCTGTACAGAGACAGAGCATTCAAGTGCCTTCAAAGTGTAAAGCTGTTTTTTTTTCACAGCATAAACCACAAAAAAAAAAAAGGCAACAAAAAAACAAACAAGCAAAAAAACCCACCAAAAAAGTTTCTGACATAATGAAAAGCCAGAGCACTCAGGCAATGCAGCAAAGGATGCAAATGGATTTGTAAACAGATTTCTCTTGTATCACGCCTCATCATGTCACACATTTGCTCCTTGGTTTTGAGGAGAGCAGCCCCTCAGCTCAGTGGCTGCCTGCCTCCATGACCTGCTCTCCTTAATAGGAAGAAATTCTTTTATTGCTCCCTGGGAAAGAAGAAACCCTTCTTTTCCCTCAGAGAGGCTATCTGACCTGAGATCATGAATAATTGTACGAATGAGTTCCACAGTTAAAAAAAAAAACACAAATACATTAAATGACATTAGAAACAAAAGTATTACTATGCCACTCATATTAACAACCCCCTTGTCCCTACCTTTATTAAAATTGAAAGGGTGGGAACTTTGTGCAATATCACATTACTGGGGCCTTGTGGTCAGTGGTCTCAAACAAGTTGTTTCAGTAGTCAATGGCATCACTATGCCAGCAAGTACAGATTTTTTTAAAATTCACTTCACAACATTCATACTCCTCACATGACATCCATGTGTATTTTTGAAAACACAGTTATTGGCATCAGAGAAGTTCTCCAACATAGAAGTTTTATGCTGATATTACACAAGATTGCAGAAACCAGTTGATGTTTTTACCCTCACAAGCATAGCATGACTTTTAATAAATGCCACATTAATCCAAAGAACAGAAGTATTGGGCTTTGTGACAGACATGGTCATTCTAAAAGAGTAAATTGTAAAAATGTATGCAAGAGCTAATACAGTAAGGTAATAATAATGATAATACAACTGATAATACAACATAAGTAGCCTACAGAGCTAGAGTTATTTGCTATAAATACTTGGTAAACAAATACAAATGCAATTTTTGAGAAAACTGTCATGATTACCGATAATTCCTGAACAGGAAAGAAGATAAAACAGAAAATTGATTCTTATACTGGTCAGAGATTCTAAACAGGTCAGAGAGCTGGTGTATAATAAAAACATTCATTCCTTCCACTGGGGAAAGAGAAAATTGCTCACATAGAGAACTTCAGTTTAGGTAGGATACCCTAGTTGTTCTGACAAATGATTAGGAACTAAGTCAGAAAAATGAATTTTTAGGTGGATCTTGATTGGTTACTGAAAAAAGCTACAATAAATAATTATCTGTGTTTGTAACAGCTCATGCCATCCCTTCCTATCTTTTGTTGGCAATTACAAAACAGAGCCCAGACCTCAATGAGAGTGTTAGTAGCAGAACAAAAAGCAATCCCACCAAGGCAAAATACAGCCCATCAAAGTTAGCTGAACTCCCTAGTCAGTCTCATTGGAATTCCTGTCCTGTTTAATATCAGCAAAAGCAAAACCATTTATTCTTCTCATGATGCTACAAACACTTCCCCCTTAGCTACTTGGAGTGGCTGTTAAGCTATGTTCATTTTCCTGTGAAGACTGGGGCCACTTCTAACCAAGGAAAGAAAGAGGCTCTTTAAGAAGTTTGACTAAGTACAGGGAGATATACTTATTTTTGAAAGTCAGTTTCTCATTTAGCTATCTCTCATGGCTCTCTCGATAGCAAGTTTCATACATCTGTTGTTAGATATTAAGTGTATCATTTACTCAGTGTGCTGCATGCTAAATGCTAATAGAAACTGGTTTCTTACCCTGTTCTACCTTCCCTCTAACAAGTCCCACAAATCCTTGGGATTTTTTGCTCATGTCAGCAACTAACTTGTGAGAAATTTACTTGTATGAAAATGTGTGGATTCCAACACACATTAAAGACCAGCAATGGTGAGGAAAAGTGGCATTCTTAAAACATTTTTCCACTTGGAGGTCAATGTAATGGAAAAACCAGAAGGCAGTTTCTGGGCACAAAACTTAATTGGTAGAAAATGCCCTTTAAAATGGTACCATTCTTCAATAAAGTCTTCTAAAATGCCATTTGGTTTTCCTCTGATTTTTTTTTTCAAGGAAAAGATCTATTTAAGTTAGGATGTTTATAAAACTAAACAATTAGAGTGTTACCAAATCAGAATAGTGAAGATGGAAATGTTCCTTTAAATGATTCAACGCATCTTCTACAACTGATTTTAATAATCACAGGTACAATTCTAAAGTGTCTCAAAAAATTGCATAGCTTATTAATGTCCAGGAAAAATATTTGCAAATGCCATTTCTGGATTCTGTAAACACAAACACTTGATAGAAGTTACATCACTTCCTGTGTTATTGCCATTGCAACAACATTCTGATGAGGAAAATAAATTGCACAGTTGCAGTTTCATCAACTCACAACAGCTGTGGATAAATCACAGTACTAAAGTAGGTGTTCCTAATCAGTGTACATTATATGCACAGAAATAAGCCTATGGGAAAACTAAACATTTTAGTTCACCTACAGTTACTCTGAGTCTCTTGAAACATACTATACAAAAGTACTAGTTAGAAATGACAGTGACTCTCAAGATAACACTGGGAGAGCACTAAGGTATCAAAAGCAACAAAAGACATCTTACCTGCACCAGAACAGATGATATCTTGAGAATTCTTGCACATTTCATTGCTTTTCTTCCTTGTAAGATTGCAAGTAGTTGGATACTGACAAGCTTCACCATACCAGCCTTCATCACATTTGCACTTCCCACAGTCACACTTTCCATGGCCTAGCAAAGGAAGGAAAGAGTGTGTCAAGACCCTTTTTTCCTCATTCAGAAAGTGGTATTTTCTTATCCAGCTTTTAAAATAGATTCCATCAATTACATCTTTAAATGAATATGACTAACAGATTAACTTAACAGAGTTCATATGCAATTAAAAATAGCAGGGAGACAGCCAGCACATGGCTCCACCAAGGGCAAGGCCTGCTTGACCAACTTTTGCCATTCTGTGATGGAATGACTACATCAGTGGACAAGGGAAGAGCCACAGATGTCATTTATCTGAACTTCTGTAGTGCATTAGACACAGTTGCCTACAACATCCTTCCCTAAAGTGGAGAGAGATAGATTTGATGGGTGAGGTGTTAGGTGCACAAGGACTTGGTTGGGGGTCACACTGAGAGTCCTGGAGGACGCTCCTGACAGGTGGAATCCCTCAGGGGATTATTATTGATTACCTTCCTAATGACATAGACAAAGGGATCAAGTGCACCACCAGCAAATTGGGAGATGTCACCAAGCTGAGTGGGGTAGCTGACACACCTGAAGAATCTGATGCCACCCAGAGGGACATGGACAGGCTCAAGAAGAAGGTCCCTAGGAATCTCATGTGGATTAACAAGACCAAGAACAAGGAACTGCACCTGGTGATAGTGGGGCAACCCCCAGTATCAACATAGGCCGGGGGATGAACAGACCAGGAGCAGCCCTGCCCAGAAGGACTTGGGGGCACTGGTGGATGAGAGGCTGGACAATTTTCACTATCTATGTTGCATACAAAGTATCATTTTTTACACTAACTTCCAGGAGCAAACTTTTAGTACTTTTCCTATACAATTTTAGGTAGTAAATGTGAAAACAATTGCATCTTTTTCAAAACAGAGAATTAAATTTTAAAATACATATCTTTTAAATATATATCTGATTTACATAATATTCCCATCCTATCAATGCATCTTAAAACCAGAATCTAATTGCAGTCTATTTTAAATACATCTATTCCCCTGGTTAGAGTCAACTGCCTGAAAAATACAAGCCCAGTCTGCTGCCAGTAAGAAGGAGTTTAAATAACTATTGTAAATGACAATTTTAATTAGAAAAAAATTCTTTTGTTGCTCAAGAAAACTTTGCTTGCCTTCCAATATGGTCCTAAGACAAGATACAGTTCAATAGCTGCAAAAACATAAAACAAAAAAATAAGAGAATATGTTAGTTATTGTTTCAAAACATGAGTTGCCACCTTAAAAACTGCTGAATAACTCTCCATTGGTAAAGTAAAAGAAAAAAAAGGACATAAAATACAGAATAAAACCTACTCTAGTGACTACTCTGCTTCACTGACAGACAACAGCATAAAGCCAATCCAGAAAGTGGTGGTAAATCCTAAGGTAGCTTACAAAAATGTAAAGAAAAAACATATCAATTTTCCTTCCTTTGAAGGATTACTTGTCACTATGACTTTGCATTCTCTATGTTAGGCACTATTGTGATTTAACAGTTTGATGTCTGCTGGTGAAGAAAAGATATTCTAATAAAAGTAGGACTCATTTTCCCATTCCCATGTCTAAATGACAGAGTAAGGCAGAAACCATTCTGAATCAATTATTACAAATGGTCCAGCAGCACTAACCTCTCTCAGTTAGAGATGCACTAATCTAACACATGATGCATGAAAGAAATGAATAATTTCACTTAAAAAGCAACGCAGTCTGTTGAAAGAAAAGGAATAGAATATTCTCATGAAAGAGGTTATGCAGAGGACTTAATTAACAAGAAAACACCAAAAATCCAAAATTAATAAAATTTTGAGACATAATGAAAGATCATTTGCATGCAACTGAACAAAACTGTCAGGAATCTAACTAGTATGAATTTATAAGATTGCACACATGATTTTCATAATTTTTGCCATTTGGATTTTTTTTTTAAATTGTAGAGCAATGGCAATATTCTGCACAAAAATCTGGTTGAAAGGACTATATTGAAGTGTAGAGGGCTATAACTGCCTGCAATAACTTGTATACCTCACTGCATTTTCCCTGTCACATGGATAATGCAATTGATCTGCAAGTCAGTTTGACATAGGAATCCCCTTTTTGCTTATTTCCCACACCCACATGTACCAATACTATTGCCTTCCTCAAGACAAAAATAATGATGTGATGAAGTACAAACTAAGTATGCAATAAACAGTAAGAAAATTAGAGAAAGCACAGAATTAGTGGGTAATATAGAAAACCCTTTTCTTTAAGAGAGGTTTTTGTAGGATCCCGTTTGTTGTGTATAAATTTCTGCGTTATTTAGAAAGCATATAAATTTATGAAATAGTAAATAAGGAGTAACTATCACTATGAAAGCTATGAGGTGAGATTGCAATTTCCCAAAAAATAAATTTTAGCAATAAAAGGTAGACACAGTTATTTGAGGATGTGACAAAGAACACGAGAAAAGTGAAGTATAAGACCTCACTAAATTGCTGGTCAAGAAAGCTGTATCTCAAAGTGATGACACATTCATTCCATTTTTTAAAAAGATAACTGTAACACAAATAAATGCTAAACACAAATAAATCAGAAATCCACTAAAAATCATCATCAACAACGCATCAACAAAAAAAAGAAAAAAAAGGAAAACTCAAGAAAAAGTAATAATTCATTTAAGAAAAAGGCTGTCCGAAGACTGTGAAAAACTTGCAGTTTCAAACAATGGGAGAAACATTTTATAACAAAGGGCTCCATTTCTAACTAGATGAGCAGTCACGTCAGAGAGTATATCTGGACTATGCAGAAAGCTTTTAGGGTGTAATATAAAATTAATAAGCGAGGAAAACTGTCAGATGTGTAGAAAATATATGAAGAAAGTGAGAACAGAAAATGTTAGGCAGGGTCAGATCTTGCAAACTTTCAAGTACTAAAATGTACTTTCATCATCCAAATAAAAAGAAAACAGGAAAAAAGAGTGGTTTCACCAGCAGAAAAAACCAGTTAGGATTAAAGACAATTTACAGGCAGTCCAAAGCAAAACTAATATGGGGATGTTGACTACCAGTAGCAAATGCAGTGTGGCTAATGACATGCTCTCTGGAAATGAAAATTACTCATCCAAGATGAGAAGAAAACAAAGACATAAAACTATTTTAAGGAAGTGTTCGGATCAAGAGGGCAAGACTTCATAACCTCCATGTGAGAGTACTTAAAATACTTGTACATAAAAAGGGCAGTTCAGCAACAAAGACTATTAATGAATCTATCAGGCTGGCAATCAGTAAAACCTAGGGTCTGAAAAGTAAAACCTAGCTTTTATTTCTTTTAAGGAAAAGGAGTGTACATGATCCAGACAACATTAAAAAAATGCCTGTTACCTCCTGAGCTGTGCCAGGATTTGAAATAAACTATGAAGCATTGCATAGCTACAGACACTGAAGTAATGAAAATGGAATATAATGAATAACAGCTTTACCCCAAAATAGACTATCATTGTGCCAAAATAACCTGGCATATCTTGTTTGAGATAATGAATATTCTTAGAAAAGGAACATAGGAAATGCATGTGATAGGATCATATGTGTTGGACACAATGCCTCCCATGAAAGGAAAAAATGCTCTAGAAATGCCAAAGAATCACAATATAGTTTAAAGGAAGGAAACAATATTAGGACAAAAAGGCATATTACTGGAATAGAGGATGTATGGCTATGTTTCAAATGATGTTTTTGGAACTCTGTGTGTTTTACTGATACTGACAATGAAGTTCAGATAATACAAATAACATTTGGCAATGACAAACCTGTAAAACCTCACTAGAGAGGTGAAGATGAGAAATCATACAGAAATAACTGGACTGACAAACTGAAGGACTGAAGTAGTAAAAGTGGGTTGAAATTGGAAATAAAGGCACAGAATTACACACTAGGGGCAAGGAAATGATGTCACAGGCTAATACCTCCCCAGCTGGAAACAGCAAGAAGAATGTGACTGCATATTGATATCAGCTCTGGAAACATGGTGTGACTAAGCCTTCAGCTGACAAGCCTTCCTGACTAGGGACAGGAAGAGGTAACAAATCTGCATTTGAAATTATTCACACAATGTATAGGATATGGTCCTGAGCCCAGTTTATCCTTGCAAAATGCCATTAGGTCTCTACACTTTGGAAGACTAAGTCAAGTTATCCAGAGAAAACATTCGCAGAATTTTAGCCACTTGCAAAGTTACAATTGGTTGGGAATTAAAACATCTGAGCAGAAAGATGGCAATTTAAACCACAAGCATTTGGCTCTGATCACATACTTTTCTGCTTAGACCCTTGACCTCAACCTAAGTGCCTTCTAAAATATTTTTCTACTATATATTTGCACACCTACAGGTCCAAGAGTGAAGATACAAAGGTAAAATCTCTGATAAGAAGTTCTGAAAACACATCTGTATTGCAAATATTCAGGGCATCGATTTGGAAGCCTGCTTTTGCTGAGCTCTGTGTGTAATCTATCATGAGAGACAGGCACTTCTGCAGAGTGACTCAGGTCCTGTGTGGGCTGAACAGACCTCAGAGGTTGTCTGTCTTTTTTCACTAAACTGCTGGAAAGCTGGGACTTTGGAGTTTGATGCATCATTAGATACCTTTGCATGAAAATATAGATCATTCATTTATGTTCTTTTGCTTCACTTATCTATACAATATTCAATGTCAGGATTTAAATATTCTGACATATTTTGAATATACAAAGGAGCATGATGTCAGCCTAGTTACAGGTTGAACTGCATTGCTTTATAAAAACAATTTTATTAAATAATTATTGGATGGACCAGAAACTAAGTTTGAGCATGGATTTGGTTTTTATGGGTCGGAAGAAATTGCATCATTCAGCAGTGGTATTGGATTTTTTGTGCATCTTACTGGAAAAGACTCTCTCCACGTTTGTACCAGTTTTCTTTAATATTTTTTATTACATTACATTCACTGTGACTGAAATTCGCTACATCCTTGTGCTTAAACTTTCCATAGGC